GGCTAAGAGCCTGCTTGCTGAATTTCAATGGCTTTTTGATTTTTTACTTTTTCCCAAACATATTGTTCTTTCCTTGGTGGCAAGAGACTCTCCTCTCATTGCCTTCTCTCTTTGCAGTTGATGCCCAGAGAAGCCATCAGCAGCCTCTTTGATAACTACACTTGGGTAAAGCATATAGAGGACCCTGCAATCCTGGGGAAGTCTGCTGTTTGGATCCATCCCAAAGTCAGTGTGTTTGTCATCATCCTTCTCTTTTTCCTCATGAAGGTAGGAAGCCTATTTGACTGAATGCCCTTTCCCACCATGTTAGCCATTTTCCTTTGGCAGAGCAAAGACATGTAGATGATTTATGTTCACGGAAAAACACCTAAGTATCACTTCCATGGGCAATTGCATCATTAAAGCCAGGCGTGGCTTTTATTTTTGTTCAATCTAACTGAAATAGCTTAATTGGATGGTAAAAAATGTAGACCTCAAATTCTTGGCTCTCCATGGGATTTGCAGCAATAATGAGAGCATTCAGTGATAATGTGCTTACTTCCATATAAATCACTTATTTTGGAATAGCTTGAGCTTGCATCCTGTTGGTTAGTCCCAATTATAGTAATCAGTTGTTGAAGAGCAATGGATTCTGTATGTCTCCTATAATCAAAATTGAAATAGGATTAAGGTCATAATATGTTCCCTGAGTTTGTATGAATCATCTCAATTAGGACATTTCCTATCTATCTATATCTATCTGTCCTAATTTCTGTCAATGGCCAGCAAAATCAAAGAGTAAAAGATAAGTAAAGCATATGTTTAGGCATTAAAACCAATTTTTAAACCAAGAGTTGAGACGAAATGTGGAGTATGAGAGGGGAAAACAGTATTTAAAAATTATATATTTGAATAACAGTGATAAAGGTTGAGATAAAATAATAAAGCCTTCTAAAAATGTGACAGCCTCACCAAACCACAAACCCCAGAATTCTGCAGGAGGCAGCAACCGGATTTAAATTGGATTGGTCTGGCAAGCTATTGCTTCTGCACAGAAACTATTTATTTATTTAAGACATTTATATGCCGCCCTTCTCACCCCGAAGGGGACTCAGAGCGGCTTACAAGATATATATACATACAATATATTATATTATTAGCATAGTACAATATCAGTATTATATATTACTATATTGTACTATATCATTATATTGTAATATTATTAGTAATATTACATATAATATACATATATAAGTATAATATTGCATTATTATTAGGATTATGTTGTATTACATTATAATATTATAAATATATTTATATACAATATATCATATTAGATTATATTACTATTATACAAAAACTAGCAACTTTGGCTGTGATTTTAGAAGACTAGTCAGCCAAAAGATAATCAATATAACATTTTTCAGGTCTTCCTGGTATACTTGGATGAATAAAATGTTGCTGATGATTTTGGTAGAAAGAATAGTATAATAAAATGTGCCCCACAGTTTCTACCACCACAGCCTCACAGGGACATAGGTATTGCAATATGGTATGTTGTTCTATTTCCTCACTGCAGAAGGGAACACATCGAATTTAGTCAAAGTGAACACTTTTCTGTATTTTGGGATGATTAGATTACTTAGGTACTCTGCAGGAAGAATAGCCCTCCCATTGTCTTTAGAAATGGGAAAAAACTACATTGATGTAGTTTTGCAACTCAGTGTCCCAGATGCACAGCTGATTATTTACTTTGGCTTTTTGTGTAACCTTGGATTTTGTGAGAATCCAAATTTTAGGCTTGATAAAATAGTGAAGAGTAGAGACATCACACTGGCAACAAAGATCAGCATAGTGAAAGCAATGATATTCCCCGTAGTAACCTACAGATGCGAGAGCTGGATCATAAGGAAGGCTGAGCGAAGGAAGATAGATGCTTTTGAACTGTGGTGTTGGAGAAAAGTTCTGAGAGTGCCTTGGACCGGGAGAAGATCCAACCAGTCCATACTTCAGGAAATAAAGCCCGACTGCTCCTTGGAGGGAAGAATATTATAGGCCAAGATTAAGTATTTTGGCCACATCATGAGAAGTCAGGAAAGCTTAGAGAAGACAATGATGCTGGGGGAAAAGGAAGGAAAAAGGAAGAGGGGCTGACCAAGGGCAAGATGAATGGATGGTACCCTTGAAGTGACTGGCTTGACTTTGAAGGACCTAGGGGTGGCCACGGCTGACAGGGAGCTCTGGCGTGGACTGGTTCATAAGATAACAAAGAGTCGGAAGCAACTGAGCAAATAAACAATAATCCAAGGAAAACTGTAGCTATGTTTGTTGCATAGCTCTAGTCTAGTTTGGCCTCAGGCAGAGAGATTTGAAGCTCCCTGGTTCAGCTCCACCTTCTGGCTGACAGGGAGCTCTAGCATGAGGTCACGAAGAGTCGGGAGCAACTGAATGATAAACAACAACAACAACAACAACCAAGTTTTAGGACTTTCTCAACAAATGACATTTTCCACCTTCATTGGAATACTTCACTAAGGATCAGTGAGGCCAGACTTTTAGGTGCAAACATTATTTTAAACCAGAAATTTAATTTGTACATCCAAATCTGAGACTCAACAGAGATTTGCCCCTTTTCAAGCGGATGTGTTCCACTGTATTCTGTGATCATTTTTCCCATACATGGTTTGTGTGCATATCCTTACTTATAATAGGTTTTCCAGGCTGCTATTTTTTAATTAGCAGTTTCCCATTACTTGTCTTTTTATTTTAAAATAGTCAAACTTTATTTGCAAGTATCTCATCCCTAAATTTCTTTTTAGTATTTATTTCTTCTTTTTGCTTGTTGGAATGGGGCTTTTATAATTTATTTCTTGTTTAGCTAGAACCGTAGTAAATTAATATGATTACTGTTCAGAACAAAATGGGAAGCCATTTATTAAAGGCATAATTTCAGTGACAAATGGTGTCCTAGCTGAATAGAACATAGATTACATAGTGGGATCTTGCCCATGGGATTGGCTCTGGTGTTTACACTATGTAATGCAATTTTTGTTCCTGAGTTATATATGTCATTTCCTAATTGGTTCTATCATAAAAACATGGAAAAGTTTATTAAACTACAAAAACGAAAGAAGTCGACACTCTGTTTCCGCAACCCAACGTGCACAGATCTTCCGTTAGCCAAGCAAAGCAATAATGTGACCCACACATTCTTGTGAAATGTCAATTATGCTTGAAATTTCTCTCTGAGTGATACGACAATCATCCTGAATCAATCTGTCAACGTTTTGCTTGTGAAACTCGGTGGTTGCTGTCACAGGACGCCCAACTCTTTGACACGCAAGTCAGATGTTCCCACCTCAACATCTTTAAACTTACTCACCCAACGACACACAATACTCACATAAACACAATCACCATAAACAGTTTGCATCCTCTGATGAATCTCCTTTGGGGTGACACCTTCTGAGGTCAAGAATTCGATAACTACACGTTACTTAAGTCGCATTGACCGACTGTCTGCGCAGGGTTCCATACTTTGCACTTTAACAACACAACCATTCAATGCTAAGGCTTCCTGCCAAAATGGAACTGTAGAGGAGAGTCTACTGAACAAGCCAGTACCTGCCGCATACCAGTACTGCTATCTGTTGAGGAGTTACGAAGGTGGAGGCATTACTTTTCTTTCAACCCTTGTATAGTGTTATTATGAAGGTTGTAACACTATGTTAAGTATTGTATAGAGCAACCATTAATACACTGAAAGGTTTCAACATGGAAACTGCTTGTGCCTGCCTTCCTGACTTGTGTATATATAACAGGGAAAGAAGGCAAGATAGAAAATGGGTGAGATTTGATCCACAATTTTCACAGTCTCTAGCCTAAGGGAAAATTCACAAATACAATCGCTCCTTTGCTTATGTTTTAAGCAATTAAAGAAGGAGAAAAATATACCTATATGGCATCCACAAAGAATGGCAGCCACTTCCATACTGCAAGATAGACTGCACGGCATTGTTCAGTTGTTGATGGTACTGACCCTTAGTTTTTTCATAACTGTCCTACAAGTTAATAGCCATGTGAAAAAAAACCCCTAACAACCACTGGCTTAAGAAAGCCAAAACCCAAATAGCTTATGTGTGAAATGTGGAACTTTATATTACTACCACTTTCCAAAGTGAAAGACAAGCACCTGCTATAACATCTGTCTGCCAGGTTCTACTCAGTTCAACAAAACATTGGGATAAGCCATTGTCATTGAGTAATCCTACCTGCCTATCACCTCTGTCCTAGTTCTGGATGTCTGTTGTCTCTACCACCATGCCGATACCATGTGGAGGCTTCATGCCAGTCTTCGTGTTGGGTGAGTTTCATTTCTTTCTTGTGGCTTCTTAGAAAAGGATTCTGAGAGGCTGGGATGGCAACAGAGTAAGGTGACAGAGAGGCATACCAGTGTTTATCCATGCTTTGGGGAAGTAACAAGGGCTGCGACTCTTTTGCCCCTGTGCCCAAAATCCAACCATGTTAACCTATACAAAATGTCTTCTGGCATCTCTCAGAATAGAAACTTTATTCTAGCACGAGCTTGTATGGGTTACAACCTACTAATTTAGATGTATGATTTTTTTGTGTGTGTGTCAGGAGTGACTTGAGAAACTGCAAGTTGCTGCTGGTGTGAGAGAATTGGCCATCTGCAAGGACATTGCCCAGGGGACACCCGGATGTTTTGATGTTTTAGCAATCCTGTGGGAGGCTTCTATCATGTCCCACATAGGGAGCTGGAGCTGACAGAGGGAACTCATCCACACTCTCCCCACATTCAAACCTCCGACCTGTCAGACTTCAGTCCTGCTGGCACAAGGGTTTAACCCATTGCACCACCAGGGGCTCCTGATGCATGAAATGAAATATTAGGACTTTAGTGGGATGCACTTTGTATACATTTGGAGAGTAGAATCAGAGCAACATTGGGTGCAAGAGCTGACAGTTGTATTGTTAGCACTGACCCTAAATAGTACCCTGACAATAAGTAAGGCAGTTAACATTCAATGAGTATACAATCCTAGTCTGCTCAGAAGTTTATTTCTCCTGAAACAAAACATGAGGAGGTACTTGTTTTGTTAGTTTTTGCTGAAATCAGAATGTCCTGTTGCATTCTTTAAGTGTACATCTGTTCTCCATACGCAAGACTCTCCATACACAACAATCAACAATACACATAGCATCATCTTGCTTCAGATCTTTGGTGGTGGGTTGAAATTTAGTGGATGTAACCTGGCAGAAGTCTCTCCTTTGAATTCCTTTGATCTCCAGTTGCCTTTTTGCAGTCAGTGGTAGGGTGTTCTGGAAGATGGAAGTGTATGTCTTGCTGTTTCCTCTATCAGCTTTGTGTCCATTTGATCTTTTATGTAGAAATGGCCTATGCGCCATATATTGAATGAAACATGGCATTGCTGAGAGACAATGGCAAGTGTCCTATTAGAAGATGAGATGCCAAGGACAGTGTTGTTAGTTTTTGTAACATTTCAGCTAATGGTGAGATTGTCATTTCACCCTCTACACATATTCTCAAGCAAGATCTGCACTGCCATATAATATAATTTGGAACCATGCATACCTATACAATGAAATTCAGTGCAGTTATATGGTCCACACTAACCATATAATGCAGTTCCAAACTGCATTATATCACAGTGTAGATCCAGCCACACATTGCAACTAATGTTGGCTCTCTAGATGTAAGCTGAACTGCAGCCCACAGCATTGCTCACCATTGGTTGATCCTAGGTAAGACTGCTGGGAGTTATAGTTCAACAGGATACGATGGGATGTGCGATTTCCATCTTTGCCCTGCAAATTTGTAAAGGATAGTCCTCACTTTGTCCATGTTGCTCCAATTATGAACCTTCCTTTAGCTAATTAAGTCCCCATCAATCCTACCGTATAATGCAGTTTGAAAGTTTGGTCAGTGTAGACTCATATAATGTAGTTCCATGCAATTAAACCGCATTTTATGAGTCTACACTGATCATTAGGGAGCCCCTGGTTAAACTGCTGAGCTATTAAACTTGCTCACCGGAAGGTCGCAGGATTGAATCCGGTGAACGGTGTGAGGTCCCGCTGTTAGCCCCAGCTTCTGCCAACCTAGCAGTCCAAAAACATGCAAATGTGAGTAGATCAATAGATACCACTCCAGTGGGAAGGTAACGGTGCTCCATGCAGTCATGATGGCCACATGACCTTGGAGGTGTCTATGGACAATGCCGGCTCTTCAGTTTAGAAATGGAGATGAGCACCAACTTCCAGAGTCAGACACGAATTGACTTAATGTCAGGACAAAACCTTTACCTTTACCTACACTGATCATATAATGCAGTTTCAAACTATTATATGGCAGTGTAGACGGGGCTTTGATCACATATGGTCAGAAGATAAAGCCAGACTTACACTGTCTTTAAGCTAGCACACCAACCTTATTAGCCAAGACAGATCTCAGAAACACAGCAAGCCCATTGTTCTTCCTCTTTGGGCATTGATTTTTTGCTCAAATCCTGTGTAATGTCTTCTTGGCCTTGTTATATTACTGCTGATTCATTAATGTGGACTTCGCTGGCAGCTTTTCAAACAGGATATTTAAAAAAATATTTTTAGCTCTTTGTTGAGTTAGATGATGAAGACGTTGATGACGATGGCAATACCTAAATAGTTGTAACTGGCTTTTTAATCACATGGGCAGTTTGATTCAAAGGGCATAATTTAAAACGTAATTTTGAAATTATGTTGGAAACTGCCTTGAATCTTAGGTGTGAAAGAAAGTCAATAAATAAATAAATAAATAGATTAACAACACATCTGATAGAGATCAGCTTTGCAGAGGATAATCTCATTGTACTTGTGGACATTAAATAAGTGATCTCACAATGGCTTTCAGGGGCTGCGTTTGGACGCCTGGTGGGTGAAATTATGGCCTGGCTTTTTCCTGATGGGATTCTCTTTGATGGTATTATTTACAAAATCTTGCCTGGAGGTTACGCCGTGATAGGTAAGCCCATTGCACACTTCTTTTGTTTTTTACTTAAAATCTCAATATGGAGGAATGAAGATGATGCTAACTTCTTCCTTCTTTCCTTGTGCCCTGCAATTGGGAAAGGAGCTGCCGCTCTGACGGGTGCAGTGAGCCACACAGTGTCCACGGCAGTGATTTGCTTTGAGCTGACAGGTCAGATCTCCCACATCCTGCCCATGATGGTGGCCGTCATCCTTGCCAACATGGTAGCCCAGAGTTTGCAGCCAAGTCTTTATGACAGCATTATCCAAGTGAAGAAGTTGCCCTATTTGCCAGACCTGGGCTGGAATCAAATAAGGTACAAGACTTATCAAAGAAGGGATGGGGTGTGTAAGGAAAATGAAAGTGTGGGTAGATCTTCACTGCCATATAATGCAGTTTGGATTTCAGTTATATGGTCAATGTAGACCCATGCATTTTATGGCAGTGTAGATCCAACCACAGATTCAACCATTAATGGCTTGAATTTTCTTCTCCCCCCCTCCCCCCCGCCAAAGGTCCCTGTAGATTGGTTTTTATATGGATTTTTATTATGTGATATTAAATGTTTTAAATCGATATGTATGTATGTATGTATGTTTATGGCATCTAATTGCTGCCAATCTGTATGCCGCCCTAAGTCGCCTAAGTCCTGAAAAGAGCAGGATAAAAATGCTGTAAATAAATAATTTATATAAATAAAAATGTAATGTTCGTAATGTAACTCAAAAACCACTGGAAAAATTAACACCAAATTTGGACACAGTATACCTATGAGGCCAACGAGTGACCATCACTCATAACAACACTGAAAAACACAGCGGATGAGACTTAAAACCCCCCAAAATAAAATAAAAAACATTACAACACACACACACATTTTCAAATATGCATATATACACATATACACAAATGCACACACACATATACACACACAAAGCACAAATACACAGCCTGGGCCACAGCAACGCATGGCAGGGGACAGCTAGTAATAAATAAATAGATTAAGCAAAGCATTATTTTCACTGTCAGAAAGAAGAACTATCTTTATTTCGAAATTAGATCATTAGATGGACATAATAGTGGCAGGTCTAGGAATCTAGAGGTTAAGCTAGGTTGGGAGCTGCAACAAGAGCTGATGATGCAAAGTCCTTTGGGTCTTGCCCTTCAACTTACACTAAGGGATATTGTTAGACTACTGCTAAAATGAGGAGCCCCGAGAGACAACAACATCAGGACCTCCCCAGAGGTTTCTGGCACAGCACTGCTGTTGAATAAACTGGTACCAATCCCATAAACCAGACATCTGAAGGGATGTGAGAAACTGAAATTGAAGAGTGGCTGAAAATGTCAATTAGTTCAGAACCTGAAGCTTGCTTCTTCACAGGAGTGATTCCTAAGTAGCATATTACACCTGAGCTTTGGCTCCTGAACTCCCATGACTGCCCTGATCCCAACCTGTTTCCAGGTGAGACTGCCTCCTGGCATATAATTCACTCTGGGTTTTTCGGGCATCATGTGGGGACTTTCTCCAGTGCCGTCATTGGATGGATGTCAAACAGGGATCCTCCAGGGACAGGGATGTCATGGATGTCCCGCTTGGCACTATTCTTCAAGCAGTCTTATTTAACACTGGTAGTTACTTGGCCTCAAATAGAATTGCTGCTGTTATGGATTTTACTGTTGTTCATCTCAGAATTAATTTGTTTTCTATTGTTAAGGGTTTTTTTCAATGTTACATGCAGCAGTTGCCATGCACATCCTTAGAACAAAATATGGATTGCAATGAATGAAAAATGAATAAATGTTTGCTTTTTACTTACTTTTAATTTTTTTTGCCTTTTAAGCAAATACAATATTTACGTTGAGGATATTATGGTGTGTGATGTCAAATTCATCTCCTCTAACTGCAAATACCGGGACCTGAAGGATATACTTGAAAATACAACTGTCAAGACCTTTCCGCTGGTGGACTCCCCAGGTGAGCTAAGTAGAAAGCTTGCAGACGGCAAATTCTCTCAAACCAGAAGCGACTTGCAGTTTCTCAAGTAGCTCCTGACATTAAAAAGAAAAGTTTCCCAATGCCGGCTGAGATCTTTTGGCACAGCACCCAGTTTGCCGATGACCACTGGGACCACCTGTACTGGTGTATGCCAGAGCCTTTGCAGTTCGGTTTTGAGGTCCTGATAAAGGCTGTTTTTCGTCAATGTGACTGTCACCTGGTATGGCGACATCAATAACCTTTTTTTTCTTTTCCACAATCGAAATGTTGTTGTTGTTGTTGTTATTTTTATTATTATTATTGTTATTATTATTATTATTATTATTATTATTATTATTGTTGTTGTTGTAATACTGGAAACCTCCTGTTTTGCCATGACAGTGGCATATGAAGGGTTGCCTACCCTTTCATGATGGAGCCCTGTCAGAAGTGGCTGTATGTCATGGGATGGAAGCTGTCGGGCTCTGTCACAAAAGGGAAGGTTAAATAGCAAATACTGCTTAAAAGCACTTCATCTGAGGAGGTTGTTTGGGACATTAATACAACTTTGCAGATTGTCTCCCTGTTTGCTTTGCCCACACCGCTGTTCCTCTTCTTTGGCTCCCTCCTCCATTATCACGACACTGCATTTAACTAGTGACATAGTGCACCAGTCATTCTGCACCAGACAGTTTTTGTTGACATCTTGCAATGTTTTGTGTGTTTCATCCCTTTGCCAATACTTTGTTCATTGTGGGAACCCCTTGAACATGTCTGAAGAAATGCAAAGAGCCATAAGCTCAGAGAAAACCTACCTTGTGGACTCTTCAGCTTCTGGTGAAGCACCTTTCAAATAATTGTTTTTTCATACACAATTCCTTGTCTTGTTATGAGGACAGATTTCAGTGTAATTGTCAGTAATACTGTGTTCAGGTTTACCAAAAAGGGATCTGAAAGAATGCCTGCCTGAGGTTCTTGCACTTTGCATGACACTGTTAATAAATCTCACGAAGCACAAATATCCTTGGCATTTTGATGTCTGTTCTAATTCTGTGACTAAGAGTAACAGGAGGGGGGCTGAAGAAACTGCTCAGAGAATATGGCTGCAGGAAGAGTACGGTGCAGCAGAAGGCCTGGGCAGCAGGGATTGCTGATGTCATCCACTTGGCACTCCAGACTGAAGCTTTGTGCAAGATGCTCGTAGGAGGCTATAGGCAGCCGGATACTGAGTGGGCCCAGCAGCTGCTGCTGTTTTGTGTGGAAACCTCCTTGTGTTTTCAAAGAACATGAGCTGATGCTCAGGAGAAAGACTTGATTTCTTGGGGGAATATAGTGGGGCTGGAAATGTTACATAAGACTCTGAATTGTGAGTTGAGGTTCAGAACCAAGACTATGTGTGTGTGTGTATGTTTATAAAAAAATTACATACTGCCTTTGAGTACTTCCTCCATAAGTGCCCTCAACATGAAAATGTTGAAAGAAAAATGAGACCAAAGAAACAAACAAGAGACAGCACAATTAGCAGACAAATTAAAGTCACTGAACCCGCCCCCCCCTCTCTCTCTCTATATATATATTCTTCCCTGACAACATAAGAAAAAAACACACACACTAGATCAGTGGTTCCCAACCTGTGGATCCCCAGGTGTTTTGGCCTACAATTCCCAGAAATCCCTGCCAGTTTACCAGCTGTGAAGATTTCTGGAAGTTGAAGGCCAAAACCTCTGGGAACCCACCGGTTGAGAACCACTGCACTAGAAGTTATTGACTATGGTGATCATTACAATTATTGAAAGCAGAGATGGTTACATTGCGAAGCTCGAGGCATAATTATGCCATTATGGACTTGGGTTAGAATCTCTGCATAATCTCCATTTAAGAAGGGCAAAAATCTACCTTGAGACGAGGAAGAGAATTACAAATTTGAGAGTAAAAGAATAAAAGATATGCATGTTCAAAATGTTAGTTTTCATGCTGGTGGATACCTGCTTCAACCTTTATATCTCGCCAGAGAATTTACCCGTCTGTTTTTATAATGATAATAACAATAACAACAACAATTATTGTTATCATGATTACTATCACTCGGTCAACCTAAAAGTCCAAGCCAAGTTCACAACATTGTTGTTGTTGTTGTTGTTGTTGTTGTTGTTGTTGTTTTATGTGATTAATGAGAAGCCCAGTGGTAAACTGAGGAGGACAATATCCTTATTAGGGGCGCACTTCTCAAAAGGCTATGAGGATACTTCCCCACTTCGAGATATATTCTGTGCAATCTGAGAATGATTGTAGGAGGATCTTCTGAATTACCTTGTCTACTTGGTGATTTCAGCCTCGTTCTTGTTCTTACACAAAACATGTCAGAACCTGTGGGTTGTTTCAGAGAGAATTTGTTTTAAGCCTTCCTCCCTTCCTCCTGTACACTCTATGGTCTATCTTCTAAAGCACATGTGTCAAACTCAAGGTTTGTGGGTCAAATCCAGGCAATCGTGTCATTTTGTGTGGCCCTCCAGATGCTGGACTTCAACTCCTGTTTTCCTCATCATAAGACATCATAACTAGAGCTGATGGAAGTTGGGATACAGTAATATCTGAAAGGCTGCAGTTTGCTCTTTTTAGTCTAGATGGCGCGGTTTGAATTTAAACACAAGGCTTGAGGATCTGTCTGATTTTAAAATGTTCTTTAACCTTTCCCCAACTCAGAGTCACAAGTGTTGTTGGGTTGCAATTTCCATGATCCCCAGTCTGCATGATAGATTATCAGAAGCGATGGGAGTTTTCATCCAATAACTTCTGGGGACCCAAACTGGGTAAAACTAAAGTATTCTGACCACTATGTATAGTTGGCCTTCTGTATCCATTGATTCGCTGTCCATGGATTCAACAGTCCTTTCAAGGCAATCATTAGGCTGATGTGGCCCTCAATGAAAATGAGTTTGACACCCCTGCTCTAAAGTGTACTTCTAAGACCACTGATTGATTCCAGGCTTGTAGTTCTATGCTTGTTAGGTAGGGTGCTATAGGGAAAATGAAGAACTCAGCTTAAGAGCATGTCTTATCCTGATAGATATCACACGGTGATTGTGAGCATAAAAGTGGAGGGAGAAGCCATGTGTATCACTTTGATTTCCTCAGAAGAAGAGTGGGATATAATGAATACATCCTCGACAGTTTGTTGGCTCTTCCGAGAAAATATATGCCTTAGCAAGTCCAACCAGCCTTACTTTTTCTTGTCTCTAATCTTCCTATAGAGTCCATGATCCTCCTGGGTTCAGTGGAGCGGCCAGAACTCCAGGCCCTGTTGCTTCGGCATCTCAGCGCTGAACGGCGTTTGTATCTCACCCGGGAGATGCAGCAAAAGCTGACTGAGTTGCCATATGGCGGACAAAGGTGGAAACACGAATCATTTGCTTTTGTGGATGAGGACGAGGATGAAGAGGAAAAGACTGAGGTATCAAAGCAAGACAATAAATTGGAGAGGTTGAGGGAACAGGGGTAGAAACAAGGAAAAAGGAGGGAGAGGCAACTGTAACATAGTAGTTAATAAGAATCAGAGTGGCCCTGATATTGTTTCAGATCCCACCTTATAGGCAAACTTTCTTAGAAGTAGTATGAAGACAATTTCTGCCTGTTTTTCAGGATTCATAAAAAAGCTGCTGACTCAATGCAGGTAAAGTGTTTTGGAGAAAGCAGCTGACGAATGCTAAGGGTATTTGTTTAGCATCAGTTTAAAAGAGGGGCTCCTGCAAGTGGTACAAGATACCTGTTTGTTATAACCTGTGGGTTTCCTTAAGTGTGAATCTTGCATTTAATGTGCTTTGATTCATGCATTGTCATGGAAGGTAAACTCAGAATTATTTTACAAATCTGATTGTTCAGGCTCAGATCTCTGCAGAAACCTCATTGTGGAAGTAAACATGTTAACTGTAGGGAATGTGAACTTGCTTGGTAAAACATCAAAATATCCAGGCATCCCCTAGGCAATGTCCTTGCAGACGGCCAATTCTCTCACACCAGAAGTGACTTGCAGTTTCTCAAGTTGTTCCTGACACACAAAACAAAATGCCTATTAAGGGTGTTTTTTTTCCTTTTGTAAGTGACAGATCCTTGTTCTTCTTCTTTTTGTAGCTTCAACTCCAACCTCCTTTAATCTCCAGTTACCCAGAAGGACCCAATGGCCCAGTGACTCCTCATAAACCATTGCCAGAGACACCACAACCTCAGCCGACTCCAAGTACTGTGTTTGGCTTTGTTTCATGGCACAATGGGATTGGTTGGGTGGAGAACGGGGGCACATTAGTGCCCACTTGAAGACCAATACTCTTCTTTCACCTCACAGGGGTGGGCTTAATATGTAGAATAATGTTAAAAGAGGCAGTATCTCTGTATACTTGCAGGTTTCATTTTTGTTGAAGTTAAATACTACCAGCACATTTCTGTAGGCTTACATGATTCAAGTTCCTAAATGAGAGCTGAAGCTTCTAAGCTTGACCCTCTATACTTCCTGCCAAGACTCCATATAATGCTCTTCCTTATTTTAAAAGTCCAGCTTTGTGTCAATTGATCATTAAATCTTTCAAGCAGTGGCTGAAGTAAGTAGCGAGTGTCTCCAGGGTGAAAACTCCAAGGCCTGAACATGATTATATTGGCCATTGTTGTCACAATGAAAAGGTTACAGAGATGATAACGGGCCCCCTTGAACTTGTGGACTGCTTCAGAAATTACATTTTCAGATGCCCACTGGTGATACTTTCAGTGTACAGACAGACACAGAAAGAGAGAAGGGAGGGAGGGAGGGAGGGAAGGGAGAATGTGTGAATATGGCAAACATGACAGATATATGGAATTTCCTACAGATCCCTGTTGCGGGTAACTCTATGAAATATCTAGAAAGCTCAAGCTTTCCAGAAAGCCATTGCCATGTTGTACCAGACCTAACTGTCTAAAACTTTTTAAATGCACAGCAAACTTTTGAAATTCACTGCACAAATCATAGTGGTGCATGCTATCTTAGGCCTAGCTTCTGCCAACCTAGCAGTTTGAAAACATGCAAATGTGGGTAGATTAATAGGTACTGCTTCTGTGGGAAGGTTATGGCACTCCATGCAGTCATGGAGGCATCTATGGACAACACCAGCTCTTTGGCTTAGAAATGGAGATGAGCACCAACCCCCCAGAGTGGGACATGACTAGACTTAATGTCAGGGGAAACCTTTACCTTTGCCTTACAAGTACATAGTGCTGCAGCTTTATTGTGATTGAGCCAGTTTTTATCCCAATTCAAACATTCAATGTAAATGTCCAATCAGCTGGTGTGAGGTGGTATGGGACGGAAAAGGAAGACCTTTTCTATTGGTGGAGGCATTCCAGACTGGGCAGAACTGGATTAGTACCTTCTCCTCCTTACATATTTATTTAGCCCTGAGGCTGAGTAACTGATTCCTTACATTTCATTCTCTGCAATGCTTTTAGATGAGGCTTTTAGTGTGCAGTTGCCACATCCTCTTCACACAGCTTTGTGGGAGTGAGGGATGATGTCATAAGCTATTATTCCACATATTTTCCTGCAGCTTTTTCCCTTATTACAGAAAATCTATTAAAGAGAAAAAGGACAAAATAACAGCACAGTCTCTTGAGTAGATAGAAAAAATCACTCATGAGGCACAGCGGAACACATTGTCCTTGAGAAAGCTTGATTCCATGTTCGGAATGCTTTGTCTTTTACCTGCTTCTGTACATTTCCAGTTGCAGTGTAATTTTGTGTCCTGTTCTGCAAAACATTGAGTATGACATACTATTTTAACAAATAAGAAAGTGAATCAGACCAGAAAGCTTTTTTTTAGCGTGGGTGTCAGACTTGACTACATTGTGCAAACTCAAGCTTGAAGTGTTCTGATTGGACTTTGAAATGTACCATATATACTATTGCATATATTGATTGCATATATACTCAAGTATATATTGAATTTTGATCCAAGAACTTGCCAATAGACCTCATTCAATGGATTCTGGGCTTTGTTTCCATTTGCTTTGGAAATTGAGACCCACAGGAATCCCACAGAGACCATCAGATGACATAAGGGCAGTTTCGGTGGGACTTTCATTGGACTCTGCTACTGCAGCTCATGGAAATGGATCTCAGAAGTGTTCCCTGACTCCAAACAGGAGATAGCGGGGGAAGGATGGACTTTGACGAGGAGAGGACAGGGATGGCTGGCCATCCCAAAGGTGGACTTCAGTGGGAGGGAACGGAGTAAGATAGTTGCCTCCACTTTTCCCCACTTTCCACTGCTTCCCCCCTGCTCATGAGATGAGGTCCAATGATAGGTTCCCAGAACAAAATAATGGATTTTGGTATGCAGGCAGTCCCCAAGTTACAAACAGCAGACTTAAAATGACTCATAGTTAAGAACAGCAACGAGACAATTGGAAGTGAGAGAAATCTTCTCCTAGGAAGAGAAATTTATTACTGGAAGAGTTTACATGGGGAAAAGATGTCTCCACTGAAGCTTTGTCATCAATCCTTGTTTCTGCAACAAGCCAAAATGTTCAAAATCCAGTTATCACATGGATAGAAACTGATGTAAAATGTTATCCGTAACTTAGGGACTGCATGTATAGTTATCAAAAGTTGAAAGTCATTCTGCAGAGACAGGAGAGTGTTTGCCTTTCCGCAAGAGACCAGCTATCTCTGGTCCCCCCCCCCCCATTTTCTCACCCAGACATTCAGAAAAGGCCAGAAGCAGTGTTGTAATGGAGAAAATAGAGGGGGTTAGTGCTTTTTTTAAAGTTCTCCCTGGATGGAATAAGCTCTTGCCACTCTCTAAGCATTTTGTAGGTCCTATGATATTCTTGGGACAGAGTTCCTTCATTTCAGTAGAGTTTGTTATTATCAGCAGTTTTATATATCCACGTAAAGTCCAGGAACATATCCCCCATGGGTAAGGGAGTTCTACTACGAGGGTAAAATGAAAAGTAATGCCTTCACCTTCATAACTCCTCAACAGATGGCAGTACTGGTATGCGGCAGGTACTGGCTTGTTCAGTAGACTCTCCTCTACAGTTCCATTTTAGCAGGAAGCCTTAGCATTGAACAGCTGTGTTGTTAAGGTGCGAAGTATGCAACCCTGAACAGATGGTCGGTCAATATGATTTAAGCAACATGCAGTCATTGAATTCTTGACAGCAGAAGGTGTCACCCCAAAGGACATTCATCAGAGAATGCAAGTTGTTTATGGTGATTGTGTTGATATGAGTACTGTGCATTGTTGAGCAAGTAAGTTTAAAGATATTGAGGTGACACCTTCTGCTTTCAAGAATTCAATGACTGCACGTTGCTTAAGTCGCATTGACCACCCATCTGCGCAGGGTTCCATACTCCGCACTTTAACAGCACAATTGTTCAATGCTAAGGCTTCCCACCAAAATGGAACTGTAGATGAGAGTCTACTGAACAAGCTAGTATCTGCCGCACACCAGTACTGCCATCTGTTGAGTTACGAAGGGGAAGCATTACTTTTCATTCAACCCTCGTATGTTATATTTGTCATCCGAGTTACACTCTGTTACTTCCTTGATAAAACCTTCAATTCTCCACATTAACTTCCCCATTTCTAGTAATTCATAACTTTCCCACATGCCACATTGCACAAATAATATTTGTGTACCTATTCAATGAAGACATATTCAGCTGGGTAGAGTCAAATCCTGAGGAACCAGGTGATGTTCACACTAGAGAGGTTTTATTTGATAGAAACATTTTCCTATAGCTTCCCACTAATTGCAAATGCCTAATGGTGTTTTCTGTTGGGTCATTTTTCAAATCCACTGGGGGATTAAGGGATTTTTTCCCCAGCCAGATATCAGCTGCTGCAGAAACAATAGCTGTTACTGTTGTGCCTAAGGCAAACCTACCATGGTGCTTTCCTGGCAAGATATGTTCAGAGCAGGTTTGTTTTTGCCTTCCCCTGATGCTGAGAAAATGGGACTTGCCCAGGATCACCCAACTGGTTTCGAAAGCTGAGCAGAATAATCTTGCGACCTCATCACATGGGGTACTTTTTGGTGGCATGCATCGGTTCTTTGGTAGTTTTATGACGGAGTCTGCTGGCTCCCATCCCATGATGTAAAACTACTTCCAGTGGGGCTCTGTAAGACTATCAGGGAACTGCTGCATGCTGCTGCAGTGGCAACACAGGAAGCTTCCTGTGTTCAATAGGCATCAACAGGGGGAAGTCAGGCAGCGAATGTTTTCCTCATGGGATGAGGTATGGGGGAAGCTGGGCAATGCGGAGGATGGGGTGATAGGTTCCCCACACCCCCTGCCTAGCACTGATGAATTTGACATGATGAGTGGCAATTCTGCCAGGAAATCTGATGAGGTTTTTGGTCTTTACAGTCACAGTCCAATAACAAACCATTACACCACATTGACTCTCATAACCAGTCCCTGCCTGGTCTGAATAATGGGGAGAAAAGTGGGACACTTTGCTGCTTTACATTCCTGAATGTTATCACCTTTTTTGTCCCTCCTTTCCCACAGGGCAGAGATTCTGGCGCTTGAGACGACTGATGCAGCAACTCCTGTGTCTTTACCACTCTTCTTCATCAGAGAGGACAGCTGAGCAGGTGAAGCAGCAGGAAGGCTCCCGTGTACCTAACTACTTTTGGAAAGATAGGATTGATCTCTATGCTTCCCTAGGAAAGCAGCATCTGTTGAGCTGAAAACAGAAGGAAAACCGAATATCGGAGTCCTTGGTGTGACAAATAGTGTAGCTCAGAAGTGTTTGAGGACAAATCTGAAATGTCAATAATTTTGTAGCTGCTGAAATTGTTCTCCTGAAGCTCATCTACACTGACACTATTATGCAGCTTGGACGCAGTTTAGGAGAAATTAATTTCACTGTCCAGGTGATTAGATTATCATGCCTGGAACTGAATTGCAGCCAAAGCAGTGATTACATTGAACACAGAATCTGGCCTCAAATCATTGTGCAGGGTCCCCGCCGCCCCTCCATTTCCTGCAGAGATATGCATCAGCTCATTGGAGACATACGAGATTATCAAAACAAGGGGAAGTGACACTTATGAATGGAGGTAATCAATTATCCCTTTCAGGGGTCAATTACTGCTCTGCTGCCCTACTGTGCTTCATTAGGGACAGATGTCTATAATGTGGTCTGCATTTTGCGAAGCCAATTTTGTCCTGGATGTGAGATACAGTGTTTGCTCACTTATCGCGAGAGTTACATTCCAGGACCACCTGCGATAAGTGAAAGTCCGTGAAGTAGAGATGCTATATTTATTTTAATATTATTTTAATATTTATACATTATTTTAGTAGTTATACACTTTTTAAAGTCTTTATAAACTTAAAATAAATCCTGTTTCTATTTTATCAAGTACTTCTCCTCCTCTTCTTACTCCTCTCCCCCCCTCGCGGCTCCCCCCACCTGCCTCCCTGTCAGTGTGGTGGCTGCGAAGGAAGGAAGGAAAGGAAGCAAGCCCTCCTCACCTTTCCCTTCGCCAAGGGAAGAGAAAGCGAGCAAAGGAAAGGAAGGAAAGGCCCTTCAAGATGGGAGGGGTGGAGGGAGGACTGAGGAGGGAAAGCACAGTGGAGACCATCAGCAAAAACCTGTGAAACAGCGAAAAAAACCACGATATATATTTTAAATTAATATTTATTGAAAAATCACGAAGCAGCGAGCCCGCTAAAAGTGAACTGCGAAGTAGCGAGGGAACACTGTATACTTAGATCTGCTACATTGCATTTTATGTATTTTTTTCAGACTTCCCTACAACTTTAAAATGTGATTCAATGCATGCTGCAGTATTCATTTTGGTGGCATGTGTTGTGTGGCCACCACAGTTTCAAGTCATCTTGAAGCCACTTTATATTGTTAGTGTAGATGGGGCCATGTCATCTGACTGGATTGCTTCTGGGAATAAGTGGCTAATCAAATGATCTCTGTCCAGATCTAAGGAATTGAAACCTTATTTTGTTTTTGGTTTTTTCCTTTACCAGATATAGCGATATATTCCCAAGCCTCTTTCCTGCTAGTATAATGACAAGAATGTAAGCTTCACCATAATTGTAATTGTGCACTTCATTCAATATCATGTGTCTTTTCGCCCTGTTACCAAGATCTTCCAATGCGTACAAAAAGTAGATGCAAGGAAAGCTTATTAGGGAAGAAACAAGATATCGTTTCTTGATAACTTTGTGAAGATTAAATTCTTGATATATTTCTTCTGATCTTGGGACTTTCTTCTCGCCTCAGGAATTACCAGAATTTGAAGATCCAATGAAGCCAGAGGAGGTAAGCTTGGAAGTCATTGCAAGGGATGAGATGAAATTATTATCCTCAGTTGATTTCACATACAGAAGTATTTTGAAATCCTATTATAACCATGGGAACATTCGGGAAACCTATTGCATGGTTGTTGGAAGTATTTTGCTAGTCCTAGCTCTTCTGTGCCAAAATAAATCATGATACTTCCATTTCAAAATATCCCCTCATTTTCCTAAAGGGTTCTGAGCGAGCATAAAGGGTATCAAGGAAGAAACAATGGAATTGTAATGCTTCTAGACCATTAGAATATAAGTCCTTCATGGGGTTGTGGGAACCTGTGCATGGCAAACTTAATCCAAAAATAGATGTGAAAGATTTATATGATCTGAAGAGAAAGCAGAGTATAATAAATGCAATAGCACCAATACCATAGGATAGGTGGATATGCAGATTGTGTTTGTGTGATTCCTCTTATTCCTGTGTCAGATAGAAGCTTGGGAGCAGGAGGAGCTAGAGAAAGAGGTGTGCTTCGACAGCTGCCGGATAGACCCCTCTCCCTTTCAGCTGGTGGAAAGGACATCCTTGCACAAGGTGAGAGTGTGTGCCCTGCTCCTCTATGTCTTTCATCATGTAACTGCACATTACTTCTGGTGTGAGAGAATTGTCTGTCTGCAAGGATATTGCCCAGATGTTTTGATGTTTTACCATCCTTTTGGGAAGCTTCTTTCATGTCCCCGCATGGGGAGCTGTAGCAAAAAGGGGAGCACAACCCGCTCTCCCCGGATTCGGATTCGAACCACTGACCTATTGGTCAGCAGTCCTGCTGGCACAAGGGCTTAACCCATTGCGCCACTGGGGGCGCCATAATATATACCATGCATTGGTTTTATTTAGTATCTGCTGACTGCTGAATATTGTTTTCAGTACCAGCAAAGCACTGCATTTCAGTTGTGATTTTGGCTGGTTGAGATGACTGGTTCAAACTAAGCAAAGCCATTGCATAAAGAGGCTTTGCTCTGCTCTGGGATCTCCTCTTGACTTGAGTAAAATTTACTACTGGTTTGATTCAGATTTTCCATCTGGCACCATGCTGTCTTTTGTCACTGATGAACCTGTTTTTATTCTCCCCCAGACACATACCTTGTTCTCATTGCTGGGACTCAGCCATGCCTATGTAACCAGTATGGGGAAGCTGAAAGGTGTGATTGCACTGGAAGAGGTAAATGAACCCTTTATAACCTTTATATTATTCTGATCAGATAAAATATTCAGTGCTTTATTCAGGGGAGTTCCTTAACCAGTTAAATATTGACTATAGGATTAAAATGTATACAATTTTTGCCCAGCATAGTTGAAGACGGGTAGTGGTTTATTCCAGTGTTGTGTCTGGACCAATGCAAAAAGTCTATTTATAAGAGGAGAAAGCAAGGGGAGTGTTTTTTTCACAAGCAGTAAATTCCTATTCCTGTTTCATTTGTTATAAAGCCTAGAGGGATTGAGTTTCTCTCTTCTATGAGAAATTAGAGGGAGGAATTATTGCAGACTTGTCATTTCATGCATGCTTTGATTCTCTTTGCTTCCTTATGCTTTCCAATCCAATCAAAGCTTTGGAGTTTAACTTTAAGGAGTAAAATGTATATCTCCAGTTGGATGTTGCTAGGCCTTGCATGGAGCTCCTTTAAGTTGTGTGCCTTCAGGTTACTTCTAGGTTAGGGTAACTCTACGTTGAACCTGTCACAGGGATTTTTGGCACAATTTGTTCAGAGTGGGGGGGGGGGGGTTGCCTTTGCTTTCTTCTGATGCTGAAAGAGTATGACTTGTCCAAGATCATTCATATCCTTTCAGACCTATTCTCCAGAGTTTTAGCTCAAACAACTTGTTGACTCTACACACATTCCTTAGGGATATTTCTCTGGGAATGTTCCCGAAGATGCCCCCAAGTGAGATCTTAAGGTTTAGGCAATTTTCCACTCAGAAGAGAGAGCATTTAAATATCTAGAACAGTAGTTCTCAACCTGTGGGTCCCCAGATGTTTTGACCTTCAACTCCCAGAAATCCTAACAGCTGGTAAACTGGCTGAGATTTGTGAGAGTTGTAGGCCAAAACAACTGGGGAACAACAGGTTGAGAACCACTGCTCTAGAAGAACAGATAATACCATAGTGAGATCTTTCATATGTACATGGGGTATGGGAAATGCATCCCTGTTGATTTCCTGTCTCTAAATCTCCCAGCTCCAAAAAGCAATTGAGGGTTCAACGAGCGCTGGTGTTCAACTTCGACCTCCTCTTGCAAGTTTCCGTGACACGTCAAAAAACAAGGAGCACGGCAAGTGGGCCCCACAGATGTGGAGCAAAGAGAACAGCAGTCCAGGTCCTGAGGGAACCATGACAGACTCAGGGACAGTGCCCCTCAATGCTCCTGCCCCTCAACCATCTCCCAACCCCAGTGAAGGGAAGGAGAAACGCTCCACCTCCATTGCTGATTTGGAACTGGAAGAAATTGAGCTTTCTGGCCCTGCTTCTGAGAATATCTCAGACATCCTCAGGGACCTCAATTTGCGTTCTACGGATGTGGATGAAGATGATGATGACATGCCACCCAAATGGTAAAGAAGAGGGGCTCATCTTGCCTTTGCCCCAAGGTACTCTTGCTGTAGGTGTGCTTCAAGGAGAGGCTGTGAATTGCCTCCCTTTGGCACTATTGAATGGTCATCCTTGCTGGAGAACCTTAGCTAAGCGGACTGGCTTTTCTGCCTGCCACTATCAGTGGGTGGGTGGTATGAGAAATAAATGGGCCAGAAAAAACCTGGGCCTTTATCCCCTGGTCTTGCTTTCTTTGATGTTTGTGGTAAGCGTGGTCAGGACATTCTGCAGGACTCATTCTGTTCACAGCAGACAAGGCAGCAGTTTCCCTTCAAAGAAAACTTCCCTTTTCCTTCTCCTCCTCTCTTCCTTTCCCCCATCAAGATGTCACAGCTAGCACCATTTTTTTCTCAGCTTGTTCAATGAAATGCTAATTTGAAGAAGTGACAGATGAAGGATTTTTTTCTGGCTATAGACAGAATTCAGTGAAGGGCCAGAATGAAAATACTGATGACATCTTCTATAGATAAGTGTTGCTACAGTTGTTAATTTTCTTTCTCCCCTGCAGCAGAATCATCCATCCATTCTCCAAATCTGAAATTACTTCCTCCGTGGCTTCTACTTATTACGTTAGCCCTAAGCCATGAAGGTTTTTCCACCTCCTAGACTCATCTTTGTCCCCCATTGCTGTCTAGACATCTCCCTTGTTCTGAAGCCTTTCACTAAGTCAGGGGACTTTATCACCTGGAGGTGGTAAATCGTCACAGTACCAGTGCTGGCATCTGCTCCCCTCCACAGGAAAAGAAATCATATTTATTCTTTCTATTAGGCAACCATGCCCTATTTTGAAATGTCTTAAAAATAACAAAGAAGGAGAAAAGGGGTAAGTGGCCCAGTGGAGAGGGTGGAGCTACACTGTCCACTCAGATGTGCAGTGGAGACGTCACAATCCTGTGATGCCAATGCCTGTGTGAAGCCACCTATCACCATGACAGTAAGTTGCCACTATGCTGTTTTTAGGAAATGATGCGAGACAATGGCAAGCATATGATGGTGTCCAAGGTTATAAAATCAAGGGACCAAGGCAATTGCTCAGTCCATATCACTTGATCTGGATATTTCTTTGAACTCTTCAGATGCAAAAACTGAACTGAGGGAAGATTCAGTCCCCTGATGCCTTGTCAAGATCACACAGTAACTAAAACACATTGTGTGCTTCAAAAAACTTAGGTAAAGGTAAAGGTTTCACTTTGACATTAAATCCAGTCGTGTCCGACTCTGGGGGTTGGTGCTCATCTCTATTTCTAAGCCAAAGAGCAGATATTGTCCGTAGATACCTCCAAGGTGATGTGGCCGGCATGACTGAATGGAGCGCCATTATCTTCCCACCATAGCGGTACCTATTGATCTACTCTGATTTGCATGTTTTCGAACTGCTAGGTTGGCAGAAGCTGGGACTGACAGCGGGAGCTCACACCGCTCCCCAGATTTGAACCTGTGACCTTTTGGTCAGCAAGTTCAGCAGATCAGCAGTTTAAGCCACTGCACCACCGGGGGGGGGGGGTCCTAAAAACTTGCAACCCTAAAATCTTCCCATTTGGCTGCCTATTGGGGAGGGTGAGTGGGATTCAGGAACATAAATAATATGACGTCCAAAAAAAGAAGCAGTGTTCTGCATGTGCGGTCCAGATGTACTATGAAGTACAATGCCTCTAACATGGGTCAAAACAGTATGGTTTATCTTAAAAATTTCAAACGAAATACTCAAAACAAAAGTGATTGCACTTCCGTGAACATGTTGCCTTAAATGATCATGTTCAGTTGTCTTATACAGTTGCCATTTTTGCCTTTGGAGTTGCCCTGAGTCCCTTCATGAAGAGAGGGCGGGTTAAAAATAAAGATGATGATGATGATTATTATTATTAAAGTGAAGATTTCTCAAAAACAATTGTTTCAAACATAATAATCTCACACAGTACAAACATAATAATCTCACACAGTACAAACATCCCAACTAATCATGAAAAAAAGGGGGTGCTCGATAGTGAAGAGTCTATAGGGTGTGGTCTGATATACAGTGTTTCCTCGCTACTTCGCAGTTCTCTTTTCTCTTCGCGGACTCACTGTTTCGTGGGTTTTTGAATATATTAATAAAAATGATAAAATATTTACGTCCAGTGGAGGTCAGGGACCTCAGAAGTGTGGCAGCCTAAGGCATGGCGGGGAAGGCCTGCCTCCCTGGCCTGCAGCTGCCTGCATGGCTCCAAAGGCTCTGCCGGGGTCTGCGGAGGCCAGGGAGGCAGGCAGGTGCCCTTGGGATGGGCTGGGAGGCTGGTAAGGAAGCACGGGTAAGAAATAATATAACATATAAAATAATTTATAAATATTAAAATTAATATGATGTCCCTACTTCACGGATTTTCACTTATCGTGGGTGGTCCTGGAATGGAGCCCCCGCGATAAGTGAAGGAACACTGTATATAGGTTATTCTGGGACCTGAGGTGGCTAAAGGAGCTTTGCCCATGTAAATATGCAGCTAAAATTCTCCAGCCATTCTAGATTGAATTATAAAATAAATAGCCAAAGCCAAAAGCAGGATTATATATTTAGAAAAAAACATAGATAAGGGCATTTATGAGCAGACCCAAGAATGGATATTTTTTGAGTTTAGCCTCTACACGACTCTCAGCCCATTTTAAAACAAAGGTGATGCAATCAGAAATTCAACAAGTAATTTTCTATCACTGCTTCCTTAGAATTATAAGGAAGCAATGATGGAAAATTGCTTGTTGAATTTCCAATTGTCATGCTGTTGAATTTATTTATTTATTTATGACACTTTATTTATGGAAAGTAACTGGCATTGACTGTGTTAAGTGTTTCAGTTTATCAGGAGATGTTCAGAAAGCACACCTCCCCCAGACCACAGTACAGTAGACCACAGTACATAGGAATATCCCAACATATGTACGTTTTAACTTACAAATCCTCAGTGGGTCTAAAGTGACGTATTGACATCCGAATGCTGTTGTGACCTATGAACAGTGCAAAAAAGGCCTATTTGCTCCCTAAACAAGTTCTAACAGCAAGGCAGAGAGAAACAAAACCTTCCTGCAAGGCAGAAACTCCAGCTCCATGTGATTGCTTCCCTTGAATATTCTGGGAGGAGTCCAATCTGGAGATTCCACTCCAGAGATTGCAGTCCACCCTGGTGCAGCTGCCTAAACAGTAAGTACAGGGTATCCAGCAGACCTGAGCAGCAATTGTACCTCCTGGCCCAGTGCCTCTGCCTGCATGCCTTTGCCTGCGTGTTCTTCTCCGCTTTGGGAGATTGATGTCCACTGAGGAAGTTTGGGTTAATTCACTTGTGTGCTTTTTATTCTTGGTACTGTATGTTTTTCTTTAAGAAGAGAGAGGGAGAGAGAGAGAGCAAGAGAGGGAGACTGGAATTACAGTAGGAAGAAAATGATGTTGTTTTGCCTTGCTGTATATTGGACAATACATTTTGTTGCCTTAAATGTGCTTTCTTGCAACAGTGGCTGGATATAACCAACCTCTGCCTATCTCTGAATATTTAATACATTATTTGCTATTTATAAAGTACATTTTCTTATTTAAAAATACACAACATAAAAGTGAGTGAGTTTTGGGGGGAGGGGGCAGGATGGATTAATAGCATTTCAACGGGAAATTTTGCTTTGAGATAAGAATGTTTTGACTTAAGAACACTGTCACGGAACAAATTAAATTCTTAAGTCAAGGTATCACTGTAGTTCAAAAAGGCTTTTTTGTTTTGCCTCACTCTTATGTTCTCTTATGTGGAGCTCACCTTAGTTATTATTATTAGAAACACAACAAGATGAGTTCACAGCAAACAAATCACTCTGCTGGCTGTTAGATTGGATCACACGTCAAACACTTCCCAAGTATCAGCGCATAATGTATGCTGGCCACATTGTCCAAATGCCCGATCACTGTCCCAAAGCAGTTACTATATTCCCAACTCAAGAATGGGAAATGTAATGTTGGTGGACAGGAAAAGAGATTCAAAGATGGGCTTAAAAACTGTGGCAGAGACACTGAGAACTGGGAAGCCCTGGCCCTAACTGGAGATCAGCTGTGACTGCATTCAAAAAGCTATCTTTATAATACAGTAAAATTATGTTACATTAAATTAAGTTTGTCTTCATCTTAATTTACTGTTAATTAGTGCATTTCAATATTAACATCAAGTCAGAACAAGTTCATAGTATGGTCTAATATGCTGTATAGTATTAGCTGGGCATATTTTAATATTAATACTCAAGCAACCAGAAACTACATTTTTCATGCACAAAATTGTTTCAAATCTTGTATATAAAATTACCTTCAATAAGCAAGGTAATAAGCGTAAGTTAGATAAGAAGCATAGATGAATTTCATTATTCTTCATCATGTATGTATTAGGGTTGGATAGGTTCGTTCAGAAATGACTGAAATTTGAGGGGGAAAACATACGAATTTGGACATCAGAAACAATTTTGAACCATGCAGGAAAGGTGGGGGGGGGGGGGGAATCAGAATTTGAACCACTTACCTTTTTCCCCCTGGAAATATTCTATAATTTTCGGATGTCTCCCAAGGTTATTTTAATTTTCACAACCAATTAGCAACTTTGGTAAAGGCAAGGGAATTTTTTAAATCTCGTTATTTCCACTGGCAATGCAAGGAGGGAAGCGGTGGGCGTGTCTAATCACAGCCATTGTAACTGACTGTAGTTTGTAAAGGCCAGGACCCCAGTGGTAGAGATCTCAAAAGGCCCTGCTGTTAAACTACATTTCCCACAATGCCTGACTGCTCATTAGCCAAATTTATTTATTTTATTTATTTACTTTATTTGTATACCGCTCTTCTCAGCCCTTAGGCGACTCAGAGCGGTTAACAGCAACCGTTTCAGTATACAGAAAACAAGATTATTGGGTATTTAAAAGCAATCACATAACAAGTTAATTAAACAAAATGGCTGAAGGACCCAAAAATAGCTGTCTGTAGCAGTCTTCGTCTAAATATAAAATAAACTGATTGAATCTACAAAGGTGTCTAAAGAAGGCAGCAAAGCAATAAGCAACTTTCGCAAAGCCATGAGAACATACACTGCTTAAAAACCAATCATTTCACTTTTGCCTGATTGCTATGAACAAGGCACTGGGATAGCCAGCCCTTTAAAGTCAGTAAGTAATGATAAAATAAAATGATTGATT